CGACTCTTTCTACCTTCTGCCCAACCCTAGCGCCCCTGGACTCAAGCGATCCTCCAGCTTCAGCCTCCAAGTAGCTGTGGCTTCAGGCACACAACACACCCAGCCACAAACTGCGTTTTCAATAGCAATCATCCCCAATCTGTTGGCCTTACCATATGTGAATAATAATAATCAAAACCTGTATTTAAAAACATAGAGGGAAAGAGTCCCTACTCGTTTCTTAATGATTATTGCCAGCCACGAACCAGTCCCAATAATACATTCCAATTTTTTTTTTTTTTTTTTTTTTTAGTACAGAGTCTCACTCTGTCACCCAGGCTAGAGTGCAGTGGCGCGATCTCAGCTCACTACATCCTCCACCTCCCGGGTTCAAGCGATTCCCCTGCCTCAGCCTCCCAAGTAGGTGCCCACCCACCACCATGCCCAGCTAATGTTTGTATTTTTAGTAGAGACTGAGTTTCACCATGTTGGCAAGGCTGGTTTTGAATGCCTGACCGCAGGTGATCCGCCCGCCGCAGCTTCCCAAAGTGCTAGAATTATGGGCATGAGCCACTGTGCCCAGCCCACATTCTGATTTTTTTTTTTTTTTTTTTTTTGCAACGGAGTTTCACTCTTGTCGCTCAGGCTGAAGTGCAGTGGCGCCATCTCAGCTCACTGCAACCTCCTCCTCCCGCGTTCAAGCAATTCTCCTGCCTCAGCCTCCTGAATAGCTGGGATTACTGGTGCCCACCACCATGCCTGGCTAATTTTTGTATTTTTGATAGAGATGGGGTTTCACCATGTTGGCCAGGCTGGTCTGGACTCCTAACCTCAGATGATCCACCCTCCTCAGCCTCCCAAAGTGCTAGGATTACAGGCATGAGCCACAACACCTGGCCTGTGATTTTTTTTTTTTTTTTTCAGAGAAGCTAGAAGCCTGGATTTTATTAGTCTCTGAAAGTTTAATGTTGATTTAAAATGTTGTGTTGTTCATGTGTGTACTCAAACACTGGAGAGCTAAGGAAAAAGAAATAGAAAATGGAACAGCCAAGCAGAATTGCAGCAGAATATCACCTACATTTTCCTATGCCTCCCTACTGAAATTGGCCAGACTAGTATCAACACATAGTTCTACGTCTAAGGAACAATGTCTTTGATCATTACAAAAGAAAATACTTTTCAAGTTTTTCTAACCTGACTCCCAGTAAGAAATATATTTTACATTACAACATACACATTTTTTCTTTCTTTTTTTTTTTTTTTTTTTTGTTTTTGAGATAGAATCTTGCTCTGTCGCCCAGGCTGGAGTGCAGTGGTGCCATCTTGGCTCACTGCAACCTCTGCCTCCCGGGTTCAAGCGATTCTCCTGCCTCAGCTCCCAAGTAGCTGGGACTACAAGCGCCCCCTACCACGCCCGGCTAATTTTTTCTATTTTAGTAGAGATGGGGTTTCACCATATTGGCCAGGATGGTCTCGATCTCCTGACCTGGTGATCTGCCCACCTCGGCCTCCCAAAGTGCTGGGATCATACACATTTTCATATTTATCTACCTGAAATAAAAATGCTATCCTTACCATATGTGATGTACTTTGACATTTTCTGTTCTATTTTATTCCATTTAATTTTTTAATGACACTGATCATTACTACTCCCTGCAGTGGATCACCTGTCACTCACCTGTCAGTGGATCTCAAGCCACAGCTTGGAAAAAAAACACCAATTCAGAGATTAGTGGTACAATCCATTATGTTAGGGATAAGGAAACAGATTCACAGAGATTCACAGAGTACTGCGAGTTGTCCAATATTACACAAGGTAAATGGCAGAGCCAAACCTACACCTAATTATCAAGTCAAGACCATTTCCCTAATGTACTTATATCCCTAAATGCATAGTATACACATGTATAAGTAAGTGTTCAGTAAAGAAGCAGACTGCTAGCATACACACACACGTATAGATGTGTATGTATGTCTCATATGCGTGTGTCTATGTATGTGGTGTATGCATATGACATACATAAATTTGTTATAGAGATTTGACTTTACACAGGCTAAAGTTAAGAGGTTAGCTAGTTTCTGGAAGACTATTGACTTCATATCTGATGCTGGAGCCTGAAGTTCACAAAGAACAGAAATTAACTAGAGCCAATGAGAACAGATTGCAGCCATATCTGTTGTTGTAATCGCTGACCTCAGTCATGTAGATGTCCTAGAAAGGATAAAGGAGGTGCTTTGTCATGGATTAGCACACATGTGGCCCAGGAGTCAGCGAAGTTGAAGGAGGATCCAGAAGAAGGCCTTGACACTGCCTTGAGCCAAGGAGATGCACCAGCAGATCTGCAAAATCACTACTGCTTGACTTCAGCCTCCAAATCTCCTACAGTAATCTCTCTGTGGCTCGTGCTTTCTTTAGCAATTTAGAAAGCATGCTCATAGTTCAATTTTAAAACTGAATATCTATTGCTTCAATTGTTTTTGTTTGTTTGTTTGTTTTGGGATAGAGTCTCGCTCTGTCCCCCAAGCTGGAGTGCAGAGGCATGATCTCGGCTCACTGCAAACTCCGCCTCCCTGGTTCAAGCTATTCTCATGCCTCAATCTCCCAAGTAGCTGGGATTACAGGCATACACCACCACGCCCAGCTAATTTTTGTATTTTTAGTACAGGTAGGGTTTCGTCATTTTGGTCAGGCTGGTCTTGAACTCCTGACCTCAAGTGATCATCCTGCCTCGGCCTCCCAAAGTGCTGGGATTACAGGTGTGAGCCATCGCGCCCAGCCTTATTGCTTCAATTATTAAAATCGAGAATACAGAGTATCTATAGATAAGAAAAAAATAGCACACTTTTGATTTTATTCCTCTCCCTTCTTTCTCACAGTTTATTATCTGAAATTTCATTATTTTTATTTTTATTATTTTTATTTCAATAGGTTTTTGGGGAACAGGTGGTGTTTGGTTGCATGGGTAAGTTCTTCAGTGGTGATTTCTGAGATTTTGGTGCAACCATCACTCAAGCAGTGTATACTGTACCCAATGCATAGCCTTTTATCCCTCATCCCCTCCCACCCTTCCCTCCGAGTCCACAAAGTCCGTTGTATCATTCTTATATCTTTGCATCCCCACAGCTTAGCTCCCACTTATAAGTGAGAACATATGATGTCTGGTTTTCCATTCCTGAGTTACTTCACTTAAAATAATGATCTCCAATTCCATCCAGGTGCTGCAAATGCCATTATATCATTCCTTTTTATGGCTGAGTAGTATTCCATGACATCTTTATACCACATTTTCTTTATTCACTCGTTGAGTGATGGCATTTGAGCTGGTTCCATATTTTTGCAATTGCGAATTGTGCTGCTGTAAACAAGAGTGTGCAAGTGCCTTTTCATATGATGACTTCTCTTCCTCTGGATAGATACCCAGTAGTGGAAATGCTGGATCAAATGGTAGTTCTACTTTTAGTTCCTTACGGCATCTCCACACTGTTTTCATAGTGGTTGTACTAGTTTACATTCCCACTAGCAGTGTAAAAGTGTTCCCTTTTCACCACATCCATGCCAGCATCTATTATTTTTGTGTGTTTTTAATTATGGCCATTCTTGAAGGAGAAAGGTGGTATTAACATTGTGGCTTTCATTTGCCTTTCCCTGATAATTAGTGATGTTGAATGGTTTTTTTAATGCTTGTTGGTCATTTTTATATCTTCTTTTGATAATTGTCTATTCGTGTTGTTAGCCCACTTTTTGATGGGATTGTTTGGTTTTTCTTGCTTATTTGAGTTCCTCAAAGATTCTGGATATTAGTCCTTTGTGGGATGCGTAGTTTGTGAAGATTTTCTCCCACGTTATGGGTTGTCTGTATGCTGCTGATTATGTCTTTTGCTTTACAGAAGCTTTTTAAGTCCCATCTATTTATCTTTGCTTCTGTTGAACTTGCTTTTGGGTTCTTGGTCATGAAGTCTTTGCCTAAGCCAATGTCTAGAAGGATTTTTCCAATGTTATCTTCTAGAATTTTTATGGTTTCAGGTCTTAGATTTAAGTCTTTGATCTATCTTGAGTTGATTTTTAGATAAGGTGAGAGATGAGGATCCCGTTTCATTCCTCTACCTGTGGCTTGCCAATTATCTCAGCACCATTTGTTGAATAGGGTGTCCTTTTCCCTGTTTTATGTTTTTGTTTGCTTTGTCAAAGATTAGTTGGCTGTAAGTATTTGGCTTTATTTCTGGGTTCTCTATTTGGTTCCATTGGTCTATGTGCCTGTATTAATAACAGTACCATGGTATTTTGGTGACTATGGCCTTATAGTATAGTTTGAAATCAGGTAATGCGATGCCTTCAAATTTGTTCTTTTGGCTTAGTCTTGCTTTCACTATGCAGGCTCTTTTTTGGTTCCATATTAATTTTAGGACTGTTTTTTCTAGTTCTGTAAAGAATGATGATGGTATTTTGATGGGAATTGCATTGAATTTGCACACTGCTTTTGGCAGTATGATCACTTTCACAATATTGATCCTCCCCATCCATGGGTGTGGGATGTGTTTCCATTTGTTTGTGTCATCTTTGATTTCTTTCAGCAGTGTTTTGTAATTTTCCTTGTAGAGGTCTTTCACCTCCTTGGTTAGGTATATTCCTAAGTATGTTATTTATTTATTTATTTATTTATTTATTTATTTATTTATTATTTGCTTATTTATTTATTTATTTTTACAGCTATTATAAAGAGGATTGAGTTCTTGGTTTCATGCTCAGCTTGGTCCCTATTGGTGTATAGCAGTACTACTAATTTGTGTACATTGATTTTGTATCCTGAAACTTTACTGAATTCATTTATCAATTCTAGGAGCTTATTGGATGAGCCTTTAGGGTTTTCTAAACTCAAGTTTGTATTTTAATAATATTACTGCTTTATCATGGGAATCTTTCAAGTTTATTCACATTTGCATCCTGCTAAATGACAATTCTGTGTGTTAACTCTATGTTCAATTGGATTCCATCACTTTCTGGCAGTCCTTTCAGGTTTCAAGTTTTCTCTTCTAAGATTTATTCATTTTAAATTAATCTACACACTGAATGATAAATTCTTTGTAGAGTTTGTTTGTTGGTTTGCTTTCAGTAAGATACTTCTAAGGCCTTGCATATCTGGAAATTGTCTTTCTATTGCTTTCAAATTTAAGTAGTAAATTTACTTTTGAGTTACAACCTTTTCTCCCCAAAATTGTATATGGGCAATATCCTCCAAGATATACTGTGAAATGCAAAAGCCAAGTAGAGAAATGTGTCTATATCATTACCACCATTTCTCTAAGAGGAGATACGAGAGACTGGGGACGTCCAGGTTCAGAGCAGGAACCTACGTCGCACCAGCGATGAAAAAGACAATTAAATATGGGTGCTGTTGAGAAAGGCAAGAAGATTTTTGTTCAGAAGTGTGCCCAGTGCCACGCCATGGAAAAGGGAGGCAAGCATAAGACTGGGCCTAATCTCTTCGGGCGGAAGACAGGTCAGGCCGTTGGATTCTCTCACACAGACGCCAGTAAGAACAAAGGCATCACCTGGGGAGAGGATACACTGATGGAGTATTTGAAGAATCCCAAGAAGTACATCTCTGGAACAAAAATGAACTTTGCCGGCATTAAGAAGGAGGCAGAAAGGGTAGACTTGATAGCTTATCTCAAAAAAGCTACTAATGAGTAATAATTGGCCACGGCCCTATTTGTTACAACACAGAAATGTTTCATGACTTTTTTATGTGTACCATACTTTAATAGCTCTCATACGCCAGAATTCAGATCATGAATGACTGACAGAATATTTTGTTGGGCAGTCCTGATTTAAAATTAAGACTGGGTTGTGGTTAAATGAATATGTTCAGGTTTTGAATTGTAATAGTAATTCCAATTCAGTAAATGCTATCACTGTTTACCCCTTCTAAAGATATGATTAGACTTTATTAGTAATGTTCAACTTTTCTGTGAAAAATTGGTGAGTGCTGTCTTCAAACTTACTGGAGATTGGTTTTATATTTAGATTTATATAACTGGTTATGTGAATATATTTAAGTACCTGGGAAATTCCTTCACTGTCTCAGAATCAAGCAAGATTCACCTGTGTTTTGTGTTCATTTGCCTCTTAAAGGCAAGGATTGAAGATAAATAAGGTAGCAATGTCTACTGTATATTTTTGGACTTAACTGTGCCAATCTAATTGGAATTCCCTGTATTTAAAATGGTTCCTTTTATTTATTGAAAGGCATTTTAGTGTGGTTTATGTGTAATATCAAAGATTATTTAACACTTCTCACATTGTATAGATCTGTAAGGTCACATGCATTTAAAATAGTAGCAAGTTAAACTTTACTCTTTAATTCTTTACAATCTAAGTCAAACTAAGTTATAATTTAGGATTGTCTTTAAACAGTCATTCAGAAACATAAAACTATAGAACTGCTGTGTATTTGTGATTGGGAGTGGTGCTTTTGCCAACTCAAAAGGATTAAAGTTGAGGCGATATATACAAATTTTAAAATTATGTGTGATCATAAGACTTAAGATAATTAAAAAGACAACCACAGGGAAAAAAAAGGAAAAGAAAAGAGGAGATACACACAAGTACACATTATATCTAATTAACGTGTTAAATACATATATGTTATAATGTTAAACTGTGTTAATTAATATAATATGTTAATATAGTATTACATGTTATATGTTGAATAGTTAGCATATGTTAATGTTATCACACAGTAATAGAACATGTTGTTTTATACATTTATTGTTACATATTACAGCATATTATATTATCATATGTTAAATGTCTGAAATTAACATATATATGTTAAAAACAGAATAAACCTTAACACTTAAAATGCTTAAATTAAAAAAGAGAGGAAATATTTTGAAAGATTCAGGGACTGAAAACAGACTCCTTTGAATGGACCTGGTATTATAGCTCTGTCTTTGAAGCCATGTTTATACTTTACATAATCATAAAACAAAATTAAATAAAGAAAAATTCAATCCCCAGACTACAAAAGTAAATTTAAACAGATGAACCAAGTTGTGAACTCAGTAGGTAACCTAACCTCACCACAAAGGAAATATCCCAAGTGGCTCTAAAGCATAGTAATTTAACTCTGCGTCTCTAACAGAATAGATCTTAAGAACAAAAGAAAAGGCAAAGAAAGCCTTAAATTGTTTCCAGTAATAGCATAGCATTGTAGATGATAGTGTTGATACTGTTATTTTAAGATAATAAATCAAATCAGTAATTACATCAGTGTCATCAAGAACTGAGATTTGGAGCTTGGTGGGAAGGAGATATAGACATGAAATTGATGAGGTCAAATAAAATCCCTTAAGCCTGATTTTGAACTGGATACAAACTTATGATGTACTGTATCTTAAAAAAAATACATATGTCCTAGCCCTATCCACCAAAGAGTCCTAGAAATAATAACTAACTCAGGGCACTGGGCTTCCCAGGTACCCAGATTATAGTCTTTCTTCCCACGAAAAAGAACCAAAGATCTTTGATGTTTGGAGAAAGGGTTGATTCTATATCTGAGGCAGGAAATGTATAAGGTAAGTTTGAAAACATCCTGTTGTACAAGAAAGCTATCATAGACAACTAAATTAATCCTTCATTGTTTTTTGGTGCTTAATCTGAGGCCAGCCTTCATTTCTTACTTGGCAGATAGTTTATTTCCCCCTCCTGTTGACAACTGAAGTATTCTTTATCTTTCAGGTTTTATCTAGGAGTTGGGCTCTTCATAATTTTTCTTCTGTCTGAATGGGCCTTTTATTTTCGCTAGTGGAATTTAGGTAGAATGTTACTAATACTCCTCATTTCATGATAGACCTTCATTGTTTGTGTGGTTCTTACATTACAAGTTTATTTATTGCCTTTTATTTTATATCCTCTTCAATTCCTCTCTACATCTTCCTCCCTTTGGCAACTATTTGAATGTGTTAGATGTGTCATCTTCTATTTTCTACGTCCTTGTAAAACTGGTAGTGTTGTTTTATGCATACATATATTTAATTCACATAAATAGCATCACACCATGGACCTCATTTGATTATTTCATTTTTACACTCAACTACACATTGCTCTGGGTGCATTTCATCTGTTGCTTCTGACCTGAACATTATTGCGTGGTGTATATACCATGCCTTTTGCTTATCCATGTCTCAATGATCGAACCTAGATTGCCTTTAAATCTCCACTACCACAAACAACACTTTGATGAATGTTCTCAGAGTTGTCCCCTTAGAAACCTGTGTGATACGTTCTCGGCAAAAACATCCAGAAGTGAAAATGTTTGGTCATATGAGACCTGTGTATTTAATGACGATGTATCACTGGTGTGTTCTCAGTGGCTGTGCCAGTACAGTATTCACAAGCAATTCATGAGGGTTACAGTGTCCCCATCTCTGACAAGTTTTTTTCAATCTTACATCCTGATTGTGCTCTATGCAGTCTTCCATATATATATATTTTTTTGTTTGTTTGTTTGTTTGTTTTTTGTTTTTTTTGATACAGAGTCCAGCTCTGTCGCCCAGGCTGGAGTGCAGTGGCGCGATCTCGGCTCACTGCAAACTCCGCCTCCCGGGTTCACGCCATTCTGCTGCCTCAGCCTCCCGAGTAGCTGCGACTACAGGCTCCCGCCATCACACCAAGCTAATTTTTTTGTATTTTTAGTAGAGATGGGGTTTCACCATGTTAGCCAGGATGGTCTCCGTCTCCTGACCTCGTGATCCACCCACCTTGGCCTCCCAAAGTGCTGGGATTACAGGCCTGAGCCACCGCACCCAACTCTGTATTTTTTGAATATATATTTATCTCTTTTGTTTGTGTCTTTTCTTTGATAATTGAAAATTATTCAACAGCTGAAAGTAAGTTATTTGTGCGCTGTAGTTATCAACTTTCATTTAATATTCTTATTTTGTTTTATTTTCAGTTCTTAATCCTTACCATTTTTTTCTACGAACTAGAAAGCTTCTAAAATGTGTTCTTTTTATTTTTGATTCAATTTTCCCTCTCTATCAGTTCTATACTTTACTGTTTCTAATATACTGTTTAAAAATACATCCTATCAAAATGTGAATTGGTACAGTCATTATAGAAAACAATATGAAGGTCCCTCAAAAAATTAAAAATAGAACTACCATATGATCGCACAATCCCACGTCTGGGTATATATCCAAAGGAAACACTGGTCATTAGAGAAATACAAATCAAAACCACAATGAGATACCATCTCATGCCAGTTAGAATGGCAATCATTAAAAAGTCAGGAAACAACAGATGCTGGAGAGGATGTGGGGAAATAGGAACACTTTTACACTGTTGGTTGGAGGATAAATTAGTTCAACCACTGTGGAAGACAGTGTGGTAATTCTTCAAGGATCTAGAACCAAGAAATGCCGTGTAACCCAGCAATCCCATTACTGGGTTTATACCCAAAGGATTATAAATCATTCTACTATAAAGACACATGCACACGTATGTTTATTGCAGCACTGTTCACAATAGCAAAGACTTGGAACCAACCCAAATGCACATTAATGATAGATTGGATAAAGAAAATGTGGCACGTGTACACCATGGAATACTATGCAGCCATAAAAAAGGATGAGTTCATGTCCTTTGCAGGGACATGGATGAATCTGGAAACCATCATTCTCAGCAAACTAACACAGGAACAGAAAACCAAACACCACAAGTTCTCACTCACAAGTGGGAGTTGAACAATGAAAACACATGGACACAGCGAGGGGAACATTACACACTGGAGACTGTCAGCAGGTGGAGGGCTAGGGGATGGATAGAATTAGAAGAAATACCTAATATAGATGACAGGTTGATGTGTGCAGTAAACCACCATGGCACGGGTATACCTACGTAAAAAAACCTGCACATTCGGCACATGTATCCCAGAACTTAAAGTATAATTTTAAAAAAATGAAGTCAGTATCTCAATGAGATATATACATTCCCATCTTCATTGCTACATTATTCACAACAGTGAAGATATAGAAATAACCTCCGTGCCCATCATCGAATAAGAAAATGCAGTAAGTATATATATGTAATATATATAGTAGAATATTATTCACAGAAAGACATACTGCATGATCTCACTTATAGGTGGACTCTAAAAAAGTCAAACTCATAAAAGCAGAGATTAGAATGGTGGTTGCCAGGGGCTAAGGAGTTGGGGAAATGGGGAACTGCTGGTCAAAGAGTACAAAGTTTCAAGTATGCAGAAAAGTCTTGAGAATCTAATGTACAGTATGGTTACCATAGTTAATAATACTGTATTGCACACTTAAAATATGCTAACAAAGTAGATCTTAAGTGTTCTCAACACAGGAGGAAAAAAAAAGACAACTATGTGAGATGATAAGTATGTTAACTAGACTGAGTGTGTTCATCATTTCACAATGAATATGTACATCAAAATGTCATGTTGTACACCTTAAATATATACAATTTTTATTTGTCAATTATGCTTCAAAACTCACGAGAAAAAAGTTTTTGAGTTGGCTCAACTCCTAAGCCTGAACATCCTCTTAATACTACTCTCTCCAACTGCTTTGGCTTATTTTTCTTTTCCTGAATCCAGCCATATCTGATTTAATGAGAATTAGATAATTAACTGTATGTGTAAAATTAGGCTATATAGTTATGGTGTTATTGGAGTGTGTTTGTTAAAATAAAAGTTTTTTGCTGGGTGCGGTGGCTCACACCCACAATCCCAGCACTTTGGGAGGCTGAGGCAGGCAAATCACTTGAGTTCTGGAATTTGAGACCAGCCAGGCCAACATGGTGAGACCCTGTCTCTACTAAAAATACAAAAATTAGCCAGGCATGGTGGTACACACCCATAATCTCAGCTACTCAGTAGGCTGAGGAACGAGAATCACTTGAGCCT